CGCACGCACACCCACACACACACACACACACACACACACACACACACACACGCCCACCACATGCCGTCCACTGCAGTTGGCACAGGGGCAACCATGCCGACCATCTTCTTTGCCTGCTGCAACTCAGCACAAGGGCAGCCGTGCCCACTCACGCCATCCCGCCCACCGCAACTGGTGCCACCTGTGGTGCGTGGGGCAGGTCCCCCTCCGCCTATGCCCATGCCAGTTGCGGGATGGTGTGTTTGGATCGGCATGGCTGCCACTTGCGGCGGGCAGTAGGGTATGTTTGGATGGGCAGTGAGTTGTACTTGCACGGGGAATGGATTTTGAACAAGTTGGTGCCTTTGCTCAGGTGAAGCTGGAACGGCTCTTCCTCCGCAAGCACGCGTCATTCGGTATGTGGGCAGGTCGCTTGCTGCACCTGGACCATGTCCAGAGAGCATCGGCTAAAAAGGCCTGGCAAGAGTTGAGAGCTCTGCCATGAAGGTCTGAAGTGGAGAAGAGCTCCACGTGAACTAACACGCCATGTCGCACGCATAGCACCACGGCGGGTTTCCCACCTACATCTTCGCCCGAAGCCTTCTTTGTGTTAAGCCTGTTAAGCCCTATAGATTAGAGAAGGCGAAGATTTACGAACAGCAGTTCGATGCAGGCCATTCTAGAATCCGTGCATACCGCCTCGCACCAAAGTCATGTCGGGCGCTGCATCTGACTTGTGTTGGGGGTTTCGTCGTCGTGAGTAGCAAGCCGTACTCACAAGTATGCGCGTGCTTGGCGCACATGGTCCAGTTGGCAGCTCAGCGATCATGGAAGACTCGCGTGCGGCTAAACATAAGCCGCGGCACCAGTCCAGAGTCAATGTCATTGATTGCCACTAGACGCAAAAAGAAAGCGCCCCAATGTTGCAGAGAGCAGGAATGCTTTCTAGTACCAAGCAACCTGTCATCTGAGTTCGTGCTGCACAGTTGTGGTAGACTTGCTGACTAAAAAACTCTCAGGATGATTGCGTGAATCACCAACCCAAATCTGTGA